CGCGCCGCCGCGAACAGCTCGTGGCATGCGCCATTGTGCCCGTGCATCAGGTAGCTCCAGACCTGCAGGTCGAGCCCGGCCAAGACGGCCTTGACGTGGCCGCTCCACTGCGCCTGGGCCACCGGCAAAGGGCGGTGGCCACCGGGCGTCCGGTGGTGCGGCTCCTGCTCGGGTCGTGGCACCCTCGGGGAGCGGGCGAGGCCCGCCCGCAGGGTCTCGTCGAGCACGTCTGTCATGGATGGGGTCTGCATGTCGGACGGCTGGAGGACCATGCACCACTGGTGCAGCGCCTCGGCAGCGGTGAGCCTTGGCGGGATGAGCTGCGACTGCACGAAATCCAGCGCCTCGCGCGGCCTCGGGTACAGGTCGACCGTGGGCGCGGTGGGCCAAGCGTACTCCTCCAGGCCCCCGAGGCACAACGTCACCACGAGGAGGCACACCACAGGCCGCGAGAGCGTCAGCCGCGGCCGCGGCGGCGCCAGGCATGACCAGGTCTTGGCAGCCCGTGCCGCCCACAGCTGGCGCCACTGCCGCCGCCCGAGGGTCGGACGCACGAAGGCAAAAGCCGCCATCAGCATCCTCACGGCGCTGCTCTTGCCCCCGTCCAAGAACTCCTCCAGGAGGGTCAAGCCCTGGCGGGGGGCCGCAGCCGGGAGGAAAGGAAAGAGGCTCGCCTCCCCCCGCTGACGGCCCGCCCAGCGGTCGCCCTCGGCTGGGCGCGCTGCAGTCTCCGGCGCTGCTTGCGGCCTGCCCTGCAGCTGGCGAGCGCCCACAGCACCCGCAGCCGCAGTCGGCCTCCTGCGAGCCCGCATCGCCGGCGCGGCAGGGGCCGCCCTGTCGTCGAGGACCGACACCAGCATTGCCGCCGTCATCCTCCCCGAGGCCCAGCGCCTGGGCGGGCGGGCAGGACGCGTCGAGCTTCGATGTCTTGATCCGCGCGGCCTCGGGGGTGTCACCAGCCTGGTCACGAGACGCTGGATCTGCACTGTTATGTTCTGATGGGACCCAACGCCAGATAGCAGATGAACCAGAAGCCAACAGAAGAGCACATGCCTGACGACAGATTCTCAAAAGCGGGGGCGACGATGATCTGCCCTTGAGAAGGGCCAACACTGGGGCCATGGAGTCATTCAAGATGATGTGCGTGGTGTTGAAGTTTCGAGTGGCTCGCAATCGATGTTTCAGACACAAGACTAAGGCTCTCCCCTCCAGCACCACCTGAGCCTCCCTCCTGGTCCACGGTGTAGATAGAACCCGACGCCATCCATCCGCCCAGACCTCCTCGGGCACCTCCTCGAACGTGATTTCCTCCCCCTGATTCGGCTTCGGCTCGACTCGGAACGGGACCTGCTGCTCCATGGCTGCTGCTACGACTGCTGGATCGCGGTAGGGCTCCGACGAGGCTTGCTTGAAGCGTGACGAGGTGATACGCTGAGCTTGCTTGCTCTCCGAGGCTAAGGCCTTGTCGCGAGGGGCAACCTGTTGCTCGCCATCCCGACTGAACCTCCATCGTTCGTTGAAGATAGACAAACGACGAGCTTGGTCTGAGGTGATGGTCTTCTCTGTCACACCAGCGCCCCACCACGAGGCGTCCACACAGGACACGACAGGCGACAAGGGCCGCCCGGCGTCTCGAAAACACAAAGGCAGCAGTGCGCGGCACCAAGCCAGTTCCCGTCTTACTGCCGGCGTCAGCCGCCGCCTCTCGCGGCCGCCGTCGCCCATGAAGCCGTACACGGCCCCTAGGCAGCTCAGCAGCTCTCGACGAATTAGCGCCCTCGAAGTGAAGTGCGATACCACCTTCATCATGGTGTGACCGCTGCACCAACCTTGCTCCAGCAGCTCGCCGATGCCGAGGCGGAGCCGCCAGCGTAGTCGAACGCTGAGGCCGATCACGGGCTTGTCCTCGTCAAAGTGCCAGCCCAGCGTGTCCCCGCCGACTGATGCCTCCACGGGGTGCGAGGGAAGGTCTGAAGCAGTCAGCTCCCCCTGTACTGCAGTAGCTGCATCACGCACCTCGCGCAGCCTGTGGGACAGGGCGATGAAGTTGTCGACGTAGACCGCGTGCGCCATTCCCTGCTGCAGGTCAGGCGCAGGCCGACGGTCCACAAGTCGACGGCCAAAATGGCCAGGAAGCGCACGGGCGGTCACCGCCTCGTTCAGGCTCTGGCATATCCATAGGCTGATGCTCCAGCCCATCGGCGGGCACCGAAAGCACGGTGCCACCCAGGCCGAGGGTCTCACGGGCGTGCCGTCGGACAGGTTCACCAGCCCGAGGTCGCCAGCCCTCACCTTGGGCAGCCCGAAGTAGCGGCGCAGCCACTGTGGGAGCTCGATCTGGTAGAACGCGTCGCAGATGTCGACCCCCCCGATGCTGATGGGCTCGTCGCCGTCGACCGAGATCTGGGCGAACGCCGAGCCCGTCGCCAGCTCCACGGGGTCTGCGGGCGCAAACCTGAGCGAAGCGTGCCTCCCGTCGAGGATCATCCGCAGCGACCCGTTCTTCTTGCGCACGAAAAACATGCCAACGTAACACTCCGCCGAGCTGCTGAAGTCCACCAGCCCGGCGCTCATAAGCCGCCGCACCACCATTCTATAGAGGCGCGGGTTGCGAAGGGCAGGGTCCGTGTAGAGCCGTCTCGGACCCGCTTCCTTGATGCGCTCCATCCCCAGCTGTTGGGGCAAGAGTAACTCTTTCAGCCGGTGAGCGATGTTCTGGCCTGCCATCTCGTCGATAGCCTCCAGGGCGGCGGGCTGGCTGCCGGCAGGAGGCAGGGAGATGGAGTCGACGAGGTCGAAACTCACCGGGGCAACCAACGTGGCGTCACCCTCGTATGATTGAGATATCCGGAGCTCCTCGAGGGCTCCTGGACCGTCCAAGCCCTCTGGGCACGGGCCAAACCTCACAGCGGCTTGTCGCAGCTCCGAGAGGACGAGGGCGCGGCCAGCGGCAGGCACCGGCATGCCAGCGGGCGCTTGACGGCGCGCCACGGGCGGGCAGCCCCACAGGTCGTTCAGCGCGTCGGTCATCTCCTCGACCATGCCGTGAACGTGCGACCGCTTCTCAAGGCGCCTGCGCACTGACCTTGAAGGCGGGGAGGACGTAGTAGGAGAAGAAGTTCCAGCGCCAAAGTAAGGTAAAGGAAAGAGATCACGTTGGCGAAAATCGGCGCTGGAGTCGGAAGCCTCATGTACAGGTAGATCTGCTGCGCCCGCGAGGCCCACGGGCGCCCCCTCTCTCGGCCTGGCTGACTCTCGGGCGAGGGGTACCCGAGAGCCGTCCGCGTCGCTCATGATGACAGAGCGCGACGCTCTTCACGGGCTTTCCTGATCTGCTTCAGGATCCCTGCGTCGCGCTCCACCTGTTTGGAGACATGCTCCAGCAGCAGCGGGCATATCATAGAACGGCCATCCTCCTTGACCGCCCCTGTGAACACCGCCGCCTCGTCCACGATGCCGAATCGGGGGAGCCCTCCTCCCCGACCTCGGCCCCTCTTCTTGCCGTCGCCCTCGTCGCCGTCCTTGGAGCTCTTCGACTGCTGCGCCACGAACTCCATGGAGTAGATGTACTCGTGCAGCTGTGCCTGGCGAGTGGCCAGCTCAGCCCCGACCAAGTCGGGAACATTCACCTGATCCCAGCACCCGAGATGTTTGATCATCTTCATTATGATCTCATAATGATCGACCTCGAAGTCCTCCCTTGTGAGATGATAGAAGGCAAAGAAGCTGTTGTAGTGCTCCACGGGGCCGTTCCGCCTCACGTCGATGAATTGCGCGCACCAGAGCATGGTCCGAGGTCCGTCGAACGGCCACCCTGGGATGGGAGTCTCCACCATCATCGGCACAGCCTCATGCCAAGCCAGTCGCTGCCTGGAGCCGTCGGGTCGAGGTGGTACGTCCACCAGCCTGATGTCCGCCCCGCTCTCCGAGCATCTGTACACCGATGGGCCCATCGAGCTCCGACGGATGGCAGCCCAGCCTGCGTTCAGCTTCAGGAGGCCGATGTCACCTTCGATCCGCTCGGTCCCGTTGAGCTGGACAGCATCGCCACGACTGCCATCACCCGTGCTCTCGATGAGCACCCACACTGGGGCCAGCTCAGCGGGCGCCCCAAACACCCCTGCCGCGGCCGGCGGCGCTGCGCCGGCGGCGCCCGCTGGGGCGCCTGCGGCCGGCACGGCGGCGGCCGCCAGGGGACCTGCGGCAGGGGCGGCGACGGTGCCGGCCCCGGCCACGCTCACCAGAGGCGCGGCAGGCGCTGCTCTGGCGGCGGCACCCGCCGCGGGCGCGAGAGCGGCGGGGCCAGCGCCAGGAACGCCTGGTCCAGGGGCGGCTGCGGAGAAATCGAACTCCAGGTATGAGCCACCAGCGGGAAGCGTGCGCGGCCTGCCAGCAGCGCGCTCGCGGTCCAAGTACAGCTGGTCGGCTGCCTGCACGAGAGCGTCCTGGATAGCGACCGTCTCCCTCGCGTTCGGCTCACGCCTGAACCTGCACAGCAGAGTCGGGTCCCCACCCTGTAGCGCCTGGCGCGTCGGGCTGAAGGCCACGGCGACTATGTCTGGGTTCCCCTGACCGTACCGCTCCTCGTACACGTCGTGGTCGGCGCTCGAGAGGCTGGGGCACGACACCGACGGGCACGACGGCGAAGAAGGACAAACAGGCGCCGCAGGACACGGCGGCGCTCGCGATATCCAGGCCGCCAGCAGGTTGGTAGCTACGCCCAGGATCCGCACGGAGGGTCCGCCAACCATCCGCGATTCTGCCTGGACAGGTGCCCCCAGCTCGCTGGAAGAAAGGCTTGAGCACACGTGTCAGCGGCCCTCTCCCGCTTCCCACACGCAACAAAGAATCTATGGCACGCCATTGCAATACATATATACATACATATATACACATATACGTATAAATATATATGTAAATGTATAGACTTATACATATACACATATACATATATAGGCCCGGCCAGAACCACTGCATGTGCACAGCTGGTGCCCTCCGGCCTGGCGCGCAGCCGGGCCAGCACGGACTCCGCCGCGGCCGGGCCGCCGTCGGGCTCCGCGAGCCGGAGCGACAGCCCCTTCTCGGCGCAGGGCGGTTGGAGACACTAGGAGCTCGAAAAGTCGGCCCCTGGACCCATCCCAAGGCCCAGACGTACCCTGAGATCCTGGCGTCTCAATGTTTCCGAGCCGGGCGTTTTCGCCCTGTTGCGGGTTCTGGGGACCCTCACAGATCGATCGGGCTCGAAAAATGACGCAGAACGATGGGGTCTGGGGCTCCGGGCGCGGATTTTCGCGATGTTGCAATTTTTCCGCTACGTCGGATCTCAGGGTACCAGTGTTCCGTGCTGCGTCCAGCCGTGGCGACGAGGGGGCCCCCCGAAGGCCGACTTCCAGTGTCTCCATTTTGGACGCCCGAAATGGGCACGGAAAGAATGGGTACAATGCCCAACAACAAATGTTGTCCCGAACCAACAGCGGCCGCTGTTGGGCAGGCGGCCTTCTGTCTCGAATGGACACAGGCCGCGGCGGCGTGGACAGCGAGTCCTGCTCAAAATGAACCAGATCCGCTGTTGGGCATTCTACCCGTTCTTTCCGTACCCATTTCGGGCGTCCAGATCCATCGGCCCTCCGCTGACCTTCTTGCTCCTGCGCGCCCGGGGGCCCGCGCCGGCCCGCGCGCCCGAGGCCTCGCCGCCCTCGCGGCCCTGCCCCGCCCGCCCCGGCGAGGCGGAGGCCTCGAAGGCCTCGCCCACGGACTGCGGCGCCACGGGCCGGGCCTCATCGCGGCGCGGCCTCGAGGCCCTGGACGCCCCGGAGGCCTTCCTTATATACGCCACGAAAACATATGCACAGACACCCTCCGACCACTTCTGCACGTACCTCCGCGTGCACAAGCTCGCCGGCTCCCCGTGGTGATCTGTACACCGCCCCCCTCCCCCGAGGCCCAGGCACAGTCCAGTGGAGGGTGTCCGTGCACGCTTTCTCGAGGCGGACTCCTCTCGAGCTTGGAGACGGCGGCCACCGCCGCGGCGACGCAGGCCGCGTCGCTCTCCTCGTCCTCCTCGCCCTCCCCCTCGGCCTGCTCGCGCCGGCGCGAGGAGCGGGAGGTCGACGAGCTCGGCCCCTCGGCGCTGCCCCTGCCCGGCTTCCCCCGCCTCCTCGGGGCCTTCGGCTTGTGCTTCCGCTTCGCCGCCGGCCTGCGGCCACCGCCGCCCGGGCCCTCCTCGGCCGCGCTGGCCCTCGCGGCCTTCTTGGCCCTCCTCTTGCCCCGCGCGGCCTTGCCCTGCTTCTCCTGGCACGTGGGCGCCTCGCCCTCGTCCTGGGCCGCGGCCCGAGGAGCACAGGCGCGGGCAGCAGGGGAGGAGGAGGGCGCTGCCCAGCAGCGGGCGCCGTCGGACTCCGGGCCCTGCCGCCGGGCGGACGACGCCCGCCCCCCAGACGGGGGGCGCAGTGCCCGCAGCGAGGCCGGCGGGGCATCCTGCTCAGCTCGAGCCGAGCGGGAAGTGCCCGCCTCTCAGAACTTCGCGCGTCGCGCCGCGCCAAAAACAAGCGGCCACCTTCGCGCCCTCTGCGCCGCCCCCTGGAGAAAAAAAACAGCTCTGCGGCCCTCTGCGCGGCCCTGCCGGTGACCTCCTGCACCGATCCTTAGAAGAAACATAAGCGGCATAGACATAAACATTTGGCGCTCCGCGCGGATTTCTTGGATCTGCGCGGAGCGCACCAGGGGCCGCACCGGAGGCGCCGCCACGGGGCCCCAGCGCGGATCCAAGAGAATCTGCGCGCAGCGCCAAAAGTTTCTGTCTGTGGCGTTTCTGTTCTTCTTCGAATCCTGGCCAAACCCCTCCCTCACCGGCACGGGATCGGTGGATATGCCCTCGTGACCGCGCCGCGAAGGCGTAGCCACCGATCGTGCGGCCAGCGTGGGCCCGACAGGACCGCTGCGGTCTCTGGACGAACTGGCGGCCCCGGGCGCGCCTCCGCCGGCCTCGAGGACCGTCGAGGCAGCAGCGCCGCCGTCCCGGAGCCCGCTCTTTTGGCGGCCCCCCCAGGGCCTGGGGAGAGCCCCACCGGGCAGCAGATTTCTCGGTGCGCGCGTCGCCCCTGGGGGGGCGACGCACATCTAGTATAAGTTAGGAAGCAACTACAGGGAGGTGTTCGTCGGAAAGATTAAGGAGGATTAAGCCCCATTTGGGAACTGTCACGCCAGAATGGGCCTCGGATTAGGCGGGATTAAGCCGGATTAAGCGGGATTAAGCGGGATGTAGCAGGATTTAGCCGGATTAAGCCAGCTTTCGGACCAGGGCAGAATCAGAAGCTGACCTCCAGGAGTTGCACACGAATATAAGTATGTTGGGGTGGCGCCGACCTTAGGCAAGCCCAATTGGGGAAAAACGGGCCTCCTATCCCTCGACCTGCACCTTCCGCACCTTCCGCACGGAAGGTGCCGCCGCGACGCGGCCGCGGCGGCCGCTGCGGCTGCCGCTGCGGCGTCGACGGTGGC